AGATTTATGCAGTGGCTGCCTCTGGAATGCTGTGTTCAGTTTGAATTGCTTCATTTCAAAAGGATTCTTCTGTATTGTGGAGCTGGATAAAGGACAGGACAGCCAAAATGATCCAGAGGATTGGATTACCTTTCCTCTGAGAAAAAGCTGAAGAGTTTGGTTTTTTTTTTAAGTTTTGGGGGTAAAAGGATTAAGGGGAGGGGTGTCATAGAGGTTTATGGAATTATGCATATTGTGGAGGCATTGAACAGAGAGAATGTCTTCTCCCTTCCCCAAACTATTAGATCTCCGTGGCACCCAGTGAGATAGATGGGCAGTAGACTCAGGACAGACAAAAACGAAGGACTTTTGTCGCACAGTGAGCCCGCTGTGGAGCTCATTACCACAGTGCATACTGATGACTGCTAGCTTTGATGGCTTTAAAAGAGGATTAGGCAGATTCCTGTAGGGTGGGTCAACTGATGCTTATTAAACGTGGTGGCCAAGTGGAAGCTCCATGTAGAGGGGCTGTAACCTGAATGCGGGTCGCTGGAGCTGGGGGGTGGGGCGTGCAGAGGAAGGGTTTGGTCTTTGTGACCTGTGGGCCTTCCAGGGCATTTGGTCGGCCATTGCTGGATGATCTGGTGGTCTGACTGCCACAGGAGGTGGCGGCAGCTACAAGTATGGGGAATTAGATAAACATATGGAGCAGAGGTCCATCCGTGGCTATTAGCCACAAGGTATAGTTAGGAACTCTCAGTCTGGGGCAAGTGATGCTCTGTATTCTTGTTGCTTGGGGTGGGGGGCAACAGTGGGAGGGCCTCTGGTGTCCTGGCCGCACTGGTGGACCTCCCGATGGCACCTGGTATTTTTGGCCACTGTGTGACACAGAGTGTTGGACTGGATGGGCCATTGGCCTGATCCAACATTGGCTTCTCTTATGTTCTTATGTGACCCAGCAGGGCTGCTCTTAAGTTCTTCTGTGTTGGGGAGGGGCTAACTCTAGAATGTAAGAGGCCTACAAGAAGCCTTCCACCTTCCAGTCCCCCCCCCTTCAATGGCTGCCCTTCATGCCGTCAAGCAGGGCCAGTGGGTTCTTGCCTCCAGTTATTGCTGTATCCCCTAGCCCTCTCGGCATTGTTGTAAGAAAACAGAGAAAGTTTGCTGAACATTTCCTTAATGTGCGCAACATGATTGGCTCAGGTGAGCGAATGGCAGTGAAGGTTTTCAAGCGGGGAGGTACCCTGCCAGGTTCCCCATTGGACCCTGCTGCTATGTCAGCCAGTGGAATAACTCCAGAGCTGTGTTAGTGTCCTGGCCTGGATGGCCCAGCCTAGCCTGATCTCATTGGATCTCATAAGCTAAGTAGGATCGGCCCCCGGTTAGTACTTGGATAGGAGGCTGCCAAGGAAATCCAGGGTTGCTATGCAGAGGCAAGCAATGGCAAACTGCCTCTGTTCGCCTCTTGCCTGAAAACCCTACGGGGTTGGCATAAGTCGGCTGCGACCTGACCGCACTTTCCATCCATCAGCCATGTTAGTGGATGGTAGCAAAATAAAACCCAAAGGCCCCCATGACACCTTTGGAATAGCCAGTTGATTAGGGCCAGACTGCTGCAGCAGTAGCCTCCTATGGAAAACATCTCAGCCGCCATTGGAGAAGAAGAGTTTGGATTTATATCCCACCCTTCACTACCGGAAGGAGTCTCAGAGTGGCTTACAATCTCCTTTCCCTTCCCCTCCCCACAGCAGGCACCCTGTGAGGTAGGTGGGGCCCAGAGAGCTCTTTGAGTACTGCTCCTGAGGGAACAGCTCTGAAAGAATTTGTAACTGACCCAAGGTCACACCAGCAGGTACATGTAGAGGAGTGGGGAATCAAACCCGGTTCTCCCAGATTAGAGTTTGCACTCCCAACCACTACACCAAACTGGCAGGAATCACCCAGTTCTAGGCAGTGCCAGTGGTTGGTTTCAATTTATTTTCGCCAGCTTGGATTTGACTGTACCTTTTACTATTTGAATAGGTTTTTGATTGCTCCGGTTACCTTTTTTCTTTTTTTAACCTTCAGAACCTGGCTGGCTGTACATTTTAATACGCAGCTGATGCTCACTGGGCTGCAAAATGCAAAGGAGAAAGTAGCACTTTTCCTTTCGTGCTCTGAACAAGCACTTGCCTCCTTGTGAACATATGATGTTGTATACGGCGACTGACCATCTAGTTCAGTGCGGTGTGCTGTAACTGGCAGCAAAAAGTCTCCAGCAGCATTTACTCCCAGCGTGGCTTCCTTTTAACTGGAGGTGCTTCAGGGTGGACCTGGGATCTTTGAAAAGTAGACCATGTCTTGGGCTGCTAAACCACAACCTGTCTTGTACCTAATAAATATTCCTGAGTTCATAATTCTCCTAGGAAGTCATATCTGAATTCCTCTGGACTTTGTAGATGTTTCCTGTCAGTCAATGGTTGGCCTCTGATTACTTCCAACCTAAAGTAGCATTTCCCGGGACAATCCTGACAAGCGCTTTCTCTTCTTTCTCCTCTCAGGCATGGTCCTTGTACGTAGCGAGAACGGCCAGTTACTCATGATCCCTCAACACACTTTGGCGCAAATGCAGGCACATGCGCAGTCCCAGCCTCAAACGACCATGACGCCTCGCCCTGCCACGCCCACCAGCGCTTCTTCGGTCCAGATCTCGACTGTGCAGGTCAGTTCACTGAGAAATGTAAGTAAAATAAAACCTTCCATTTTCTTAAATTGAGAATGTGCGAGCTGGCCGCTGACGGGTTCAAGCCTTTTAGGAGCCCCCTCCCATCTTGTGTGCGTTTGCCAAATATGTCCTCATTCCATGCTGACTTTGCATCAGGGTTCCCTCGCCACTGCCCTCATTCTCCTGTACGGGTCAGAGGGCTCCAATGCAAGTGCGACATGGCTTGAGCTGAAAGCACCCACTGTTCATGCTATCCTTATGCATGCGCTTCTGCTGGCTGTAGCGCTGCAGCCGCTATGCCGATGGTGCTCTGAAATCCTATGGCCATACAGTCTCAGTGCAGCCGTTCATATAAATGATTCCAGCACTTGACGTTTGCGAAGATTTGCATAGTTTGCATACATAATTTTCTTTGCATAGTTTTTGAATGTTGCATTCAGATTTTCATTTTGTGAGGGTTTGTAAAAGGTGTGAAGTAAGTTGTGTGTGTGTGTGTTTTATTGGGGGGCATGAACTTCATTGTTTACAGGGAATTACTGATAACTTTGTTACGAGCCCATGTCAGCTTCTAGCCACTGGAATTCCGACCCTAATCTATTTTTATGGCAAATACTTTTCATATTTTAACACAGAACCTTGGGGGGGGGGGGGCGGATTCTGCTTTTCTTTGCCCACCCCACCCCGGTTTCCTTTATTTTCTTTCTTTTGTAATTAAATCAGGTGGCTATTGCATGAATGGTCACGTGGAGATCACGTCTGTTTCACTCTCAGAACAGTTTCAAAGAAAGATGCGAAACAGGCACAAATCTACTTTGTCCACTGCAAACTGGGCCTTTAGAATGCTATGACATCTGAAGGAGCCATAGTGGGAGGGGAGGATGAAACAAAAACTGTACTCCTCTGCTACTGTTTTTTACTTGCAGGGGGAAAGTACTCGGTGTCATTCCCCACAGATGGGAAAATATCTTGGCGGAGGGACAATTCTGAAAGTTGCCAGAGGGGGAAAGGACTGATTTGAAAGGAAACCAACCAGTAGGGAGAGGGTTAAGCAGCCCTCCCCCCTTACAGCCTCCCAAGGGTGGCGTTCATTTTAGAGAAAGCAGCCATTGGGAGAGAGTTATGCATGTCTTCCATGCAATATGTTCATTGGTCTTCCTGAACTACTGGGTTATGCATTGAGAGCCATATGGAGTGCACTGAGGCACAGTTGTGACCATGAAGATTTTCAGAGTTTCTGCAAAACCGTGGCTGAATTTACGCTTGCATGTTCATCTCCCCTCTTCCTTCTTTAAAGTCTGGAATCTGTGCAAAGGAAAAACACGTAATTTCTTGGTTAGTTAATGGACTCCATTTCTGGAATTTGCACAGTCCATTTTGACCCTGATCCGGATAACCCAGGCTAGCCGAATCTCGTCAGATCTTGGAAGCTAAGCAGGATTGGCCCTGGTTGGTATTTGGGTGGGAGACCACCAGGGAATTCCAGGGTCACTACGCAGAGGCAGGCAATGGCAAACCACCTCTGAACACCCGTTGCCTTGAAAGACCATGTCAGTTGTGATTTGACGGCAACATACACACACACACACACACACATTTTGGCTATAATATTTAAAGCTGTTGGCTATGTTGGGCTATTTGGCGAAATCATGGGTCAGGTGGCTGGGGGCTAGGAGCTGAGATGAATGGTTGCGAATTTAAACTGTCAAGTTTGAAAGTCTTCGCTTTAATAATTTTATCATGTTACCTGTTTCATAAGAAATTAATATAGTGATTTATTGATACAGTGATTGGAGTTTGCTGATTTACTGTTAGGCAGTATTTAATATATCATCTTGGAGGCGAAGAAGGTGTGCCATAACTGTATGCATTTAATTGAGTAATGATGCTTGAGTGTCAAATGATCTCAAAATTTGGGTCTGGGAAGAACATGTTTTCCAGCAGAAAGGCAGCTTCTATCTCAAGGTTCTGGACAGAGTCTCAGAGATCTGACAGACCAATTTCATAAGATTTTGATATTATAACAACTATAATTGATTTGCAAATTTAGACTTTTATCCAATTGTGTGACTCAGGCCTCGGCAATTTTTATTTGGCCCTGGAAGCCAGCCCCCAAATTTAGATTCCTTTTTCAGCCTTCAGGGTTTTGTATTTTAATTACGATATTTTCTAGTTATTACCGCAAAACCCAGTCCTAAGTTTTTCACAGTTTCTCATAACGTTACTAAAGCTATGACAAAAGTGCTGTACTCCATAAATAAATACGATATCATCCCGGTTGTCATCACCACAACGGAAAACTAATCTGTTACTAACGCTAACTTCTCTGCTGTTTCTGATAGCTTCACTATTGCTTTAAAAAGCTCCATTTAATTTGATATTGGAACTGGTCTAGAAAGCAGCTGCTTAACAAGTGGATTCATCTACCACCATTTAATGGTATAAAGCTGGCAAAAGGCAGTGACCAAACCATCACACAACAAAACATTCTTATGTGAAATTATAAAATAAAATGTGTGCTTCTGCTGAGGATTGCCGAGAGCCACTATAATAAAATCGCTGCTAAAAATACCAGGAGCCGCAATTAAATTTCTAGATGCCATGGCGACTTGGCGCCTGGAACTTGTCAAGCCCTGACATCATGTTCTTTAATTGATTCATTTTGACAGGATTTCTCCCTTCTCAGATTGATTTCAGAATATCCTCCCTTCTCTCCTCAAGATTCATTTTGACAGGATTTCTCCCTTCTCTGATTTCAGAATATCCTCCCTTCTCTCTCCCATCTCCACATTTATTTTCATCTCCTCCCCCTTACCACCCCCCCCCCAATGTTATTTGGACCCTTTTGGCTTTCTGACCCATCTGTGACGTAATCACCCATGGTCAGGGCTTCCGTCTTATCACAGAATCCCTTAGTGCATTTAAATGTCCTGACTTGGATAGCCCAGGCTAGCTTGATCTCGTCAGATCTCAGAAGCTGGACAGGGTCAGCCCTGGTCAGTATTTGGATGAGAGACCTCCAAGGAAGTCCAGGGTCACTACACAGAGGCAGGCCATGGGAAACCACTTCTGTTTGTCTGCCCTGGCCAGGATGGCCTCTCGGCTAGCCCAGTCTTATCAGGTCTTGGAAGCTAAGCAGGGTCAACCCCGGTTAGTCCTTGGATGGGGGAGACCGCCCTCCCCCCAAGGAGGACCAGGATTGCTATGCAGAGGCAGGCAAGGGCAAAACACCCCTGTCCGTCTCTTGCCTTGAAAACCCTGTGGGGCGGCCATAAGTTGGCTGTGACTTGACCGCACTTTATACACACAGAGCTTGGATTCTGATGGACTAAAGGCCTGGACTGTGATAATGCTCCTATTGCAATATGATACGCTCACATTGAGCCTGCTTTTGCGGGGAGGGTGGGGTATAAATTTGATAAATAAATAAACAAATAGATAGCAATGTAGAGAATGGGCAAGCTATGATAGCCTTTGACTGTGCCATCTAACACAGGTCTTTGAAAATGTGTTAGATAGTTAAGCTAGTTTTCGTATTTTCTTGCTGCTTGAATTCAGAATGTTGAGTTGCGTGCGATGCTCCCTCTAAGCTGTGGAGTCTTGTGAGCAAAAATCCTACTTTGTGAGCCACTGGCATTAAAGTTGTGAGCCAGCGATTTGGCTACTGGATAAATTAGTTTGCTCTGGAGCCATCCTTTCCTGAGCTAAGACAAAAATGTGTGAGCCGGAGGCTAAAAAACTGTGAGCTCGCTCACAGTAACTCAGCTTTAGAGGGAACACTGGTTGCGGGTAGATTAAACATTTGTTCTGAAAGATATTAAATAAAACTTTATATAAATTTTAAAAAAGTTTGGTTGCTTGCATACGTCAGCCCTGGGAACCCACGAGGTTCAGCCTTGAACTCCTTGGCATGGTTTATATATCTTTATACACACACATTTTAAATGTATGCACATCTTATACACACACATTTTATACACACACACGAAACACATATATTGTAAATACAGGTGGCTCCACTAGTTGTAGTGTAACTGAGTATACTGCTTGTTTTGAAACGGCTTTATTCCACTAAAATGTTGGAGTATATTAAAAAATATGGGCTTGCTTTACAGGTTGAAGAAAATGTGACAAATCAAATTCAAGCAACGTTCTGTAAAAAGACCCCCCCCCCCAAAAAAAATCAACACGAAAGCGTCACAGAGGCTTCAGCCCCGCTGTCGTCAGAGTGGTTTCTCCCTCCCGACCGTGTTCCTCCCCATGCTTAACCTTCCCTTCCCTCAAATAAGGAGCGTTTAACCGTCGTTTGTTTCGGTTGGTGGCGCGCGCTGTGTGGGAGAAGGGAGAGACGGGGGGGATTCGACTAGTGAGGTGGACCTCTCCTCCTTGGAAGCATGCATCCATTAGGTTGATGTGTTTGTAGGAAAAGCCTGCAAATAACAGAAGTGGGTGGGTTGGTGGTGGAGGAGGAAGGTGTTTCCACCTTGGGAGACCCTATTTGGGTGGAAAGGCAGCGCACAGACGTTTTAAACAAATAAATGTTTTTTAGCTGGCCTTCCTCTATAATAGGATCGAGTCCAATCCATCAGAGTGGCTGTGGGTGAAATCCACTTTGCCCCTCTGTCAGCAGGTGGGAATGGTCCACGCCCACTCCGAGTGGGATTGATTACCCTTTTGGATTGGGAGTGGTTTTAAATCAGCCTCCCTTCGTTACACCCTCCTCCCCCTCTTCCTGTTTTTTGCAACCTTTAATAATGGCTGCTTCATGCATCTAATGAAGTGAGCTCCTACTCACAAAAGCGTCTGCTGGAATAAATGTTGTTCGTCTCCGAGGTTCCACTGGGGACCCCCTGTTCTATCCTATGTAGAGTTACTCCGCTCTAAGTTAATTGATGTCATTGGATGGAGCCTGGCATGAACTCTGCCGAGGGGTGCACTATGAGTTTGTTTAAAGAGCTTGTGTACATGGATCGGAGCCGCGGCTCTGCCACAGTGTTCCCAGGCTGTTTGTAAGAGTCTCCTTCCTGAGAAGATCGGCCATGGTGGATGAGCTTCCCAGAAAGACAGCGTGTCTGCCGTAGCTGACTTTCCCTTGCAGAAGAGCTGCCTCGAGGTGCATTCTCAGGTTACAGGGGTTGACTCCTGGCTGGCGTCTTACGCAGACAGAGAGTTCACCTCAAGCCATGTACCAGAAATCCACCAGAAGGTACTGGGATTGCACCAGTAGACAAATCCAGGTCCCAGAAAGTAGGAAGCCTGAAAGTCAGTGATGTAGCCTGAGGGATCCTCCGTTGCCGGTGCCACCTCTGTGTCTTCCACCTTTGTGTCCCACCTCTTTGGGGCTGCCCAAGCCTCAGAATGGGGCCGTGCAGACTGGAAGGTCTGTAGGTCAGCAGTTTGAGATGCGAGTGCCATGTGACGGAGTGAGCTCCTGTCTCTGGCCCCAGCTCCTGCCAGCCTAGCAGTTTGAAAGCAAGAAATTGCAAGTAGATAAATAGGTACCGCTTCGGCAGGAAGGTTACAACATTCTGTGCACCTGGGTCTTTAGTCACACATGACCACGGAAACGTCTTCGGACAATGCTGGCTCTTTTGCTCGGAAACAGAGATGAGCACCATCCCGTAGAGTCAGATTTGACTAACGTTCGAGCAAGGGAAACCTTTACCTTTACCTTAAGCCTCAGAACAGGGTTGAAGGGGACAGGAGCAAGGGTTACGCCACCCCAGGTCTGTCCTCTTCTTCCCCAGGAGGTTGCTCCTTTAGCTAAGGCAGGCCCCTCCTCTTTCCTCCCTGGCCTGCTATTGGGGCTTCCCTAGAGAGATCCTCCTAACCCTTCAGTTAACCCCACCCCCACCCCCTGAACTCACCCTCACCACCTGTGCTACCACCTGAGCTAGGTACTGGAGTAAAGGTAAAGGTAAAGGTTCCCTTGCTCGAAAGCCAGTCGAGTCCGACTCTAGGGTTGCGGTGCTCATCTCCGTTTGAAAGCCGAAGAGCCAGCGCTGTCCAAAGACGTTTCCGTGGTCATGTGGCCAGCATGACTAAACACCAAGGCGCACAGAACGCTTTTACCTTCCCACCGAAGTGGTACCTATTTATCTACTTGGAATTTCTTGCTTTCGAACTGCTAGGTTGGCAGGAGCTGGAACTAGAGTCGGGAGCTCACTCCATCATGCGGCCCCCGGGTCTCAAACTGCTGAACTACTGACCTTCCACAGCCTGCAGTTCAGCGTCTTAACCACTTGAGCCACCACAGCTGGAGTACCGCCCCTTTAAATTGCCTCCTCCAACCTGGCTAGCCCTGTTCCTTCCTTTCTTGGGCCCCTCCCTGTAGGAGCTCTGCCGGGCCATCGCCTCCTGGCCTCCTTTGCGCTCTGCTGGATTGAGGCTCTTAGCCTTGGCTGTCTCTGCCGTGTCAGGTGCCACCAACCTCGGACACAAACAGTCTTCCCCGTCCTCCTGTGTGTTTAATACATCGATACTCTAGTAATCATAATGTGTGTTGTAGTGTTGCCTTTATCAAGTTCGTAAATTCTCTTGTGTTACTTTAGTACACCTACACCTTCTGTTTTCAGTCCATTTCACCGCCTAATGAAATTGGCGTGAGCATTGTAACTACCAGCCTAATAAACCAGTTTACTGGCAGTCCGCCCTTCCGACCCCCCTTCAACAAGCAGGTTTCTTCATGAATTACTTTCACGAAGGAAGAATAACGGGGGGTCCATTAATAGGTATCTGTAGAAATGTATTAAAATAAACTGCTCTGAACTTCAACAGATTCCTCTTTAGGAGGAAATTTAGCTTCATTCAAAGGGTCTTATTCACATGCTCTTTTAAAAAGAACTTTCTACCAGGAGTTGTGAAAGGCGCCTTACTTCTCTGAACTGACGTTGCAGACGGTTCCGACAGTCCCTGTGAAATTACCCAGCTACTTTAGATCTTTGTTAGCCATCAGACAGTGGGAGCCCGTGAAGAGGCTCTCTTGTGATGGCGATTTCTTTGAAGAAGTGGTTTGAATTGAGTTTTTGTTTGAATTTGAATAAGGGCCTGTAACAACTCAAAACATGTTGCTGGGTTCCGTTTGTTTGTACGTGGACCCATTATTGTACGGACTTTTGCCTCAGTCTGCGCTTACTTGCTGAGCTACCTATGTGGCAGAGAGGCAAGCATATTTTATTTTTTTGCAGTTTTAATCTCTTGAGCCTGGTGTGTGTGTGCAGCACCTCTTTAAAAAGCTTGGGGTGATGAAAGGAAGGAGATCTAAGGGCCCATGCCCAGAGGGTCTAGGGTGATGTGGTAGCTGGACTGTTGGACTGGTGGGTGGGCAGTCTCAAGTCCCCACTTGGCAACGTGTGACCTTGGGCTAGTCACATACTCGGAGCCTGACCTACCTTACAAGATTGTTGTGAAGATTGGGGGTGTGGGTGCATGTAAGCTTCCCTGAGCCTCCTTGGAAGAAGAGAGGTGCAAAAAAGAGCCAGCGTTGTGTAGCAGTTAAAGTGCCGGACTAAGATCTGGGAGACCCAGGTTTAAATCCCCGCTCTGCCATGGAAGCCCGCTGGGTGACCTTGGGCCAGTCACACCCTCTCAGCCTGAGTCTAACTCACAGGGTTGTTGTGAGGTTGAAACAGAGGAGAGGAGAACAGTGTGGGCTGCTTTGGGGTCCCCAGTGGGGAGAAGGGCAGGATATAAATATACATTTTTAAAAATGTAGCACTAACACTAGTTCAGTTCTTGAAACGTGAGTTCATGCACAGTTTTACTTCTGCCCCTCTGCCTTTTAAGTGACATACAGGCTCCCTTTAATCAACTTGCACAGTTATCCCGTTTCGAAAGCGTAGTGCTCTGTGCCACCTGGTGGCCATTTCTTTAAATTGCGTCTGGATAAGGCGGTTGAGCTTATTGCATCTCTTAAGGCAACGGTTTTTTAAACAGCGTGCTGGAGAATAGCCCCGATGGCGACAATGAATCCTCCCTCCCGCTTTCCACCTCTCTGACTCCCTGTCCTTCTTGCAGCCTCAGATTGTTCTGGGCAACACGGCACAAACGTCAGCGTTGGGAACAGCCACAGCTGTGCAGACGGGAACCGCTCAGAGGACGGTGCAGGCGACCACGGCGGCCTCGACTGCGGCCACAGTAAGGATCCCGAAGCCCGTTAGAGGCCAGATCTCATGGCTCCCCGGGATCTAGAGGATCAGCCAGTTGCCCGCATGTAAATGATCAGCGTGGGGTGTGCTGGTCTCCGCTCTGGCACGGGACACCTGAACAAGTCTGAAGCTTCCCAAGCGGGTGGAGCGGTAGCTGTGGGAACGACTGTGCTGCCGATGGGTGTACCGGGCGGAGAGTAGTCGGTGTTAAAGGAAATAATTCAGAGTTCCGAACCAGGAGAACCCAGATTCTGGGCTAAGAAACGGGGCTGCTTTTCTGTGATTATTTTGCACTGGGGAAAGCCTATTCGACCACCCACCTGACTTCTGGGAGTCACCAGGCATCGGCCACATCGCATGAAGCCTGCCTTTGAATGCATAACGGCTGGTAGCTTGCCCTGACCTGGATGGCCCAGGCTAGCCTGATCTCGTCAGATCTCAGAAGCTAAGCAGGGTCGGCCCTGGTTAGTGCGTGGATGGGAGACCACCTAGGAAAGGTCCAGGGTTGCTAGGCAGAAGCAGGCAATGGCAAAACCACTTCTGAGCATCTGTTGCCTTGAAAAGCCCTTACAGGGGCACCATAAGTCGCCTGCAACTTTTCAGCAAACCCTTGCCTAGTTTCTTAAAACATTTAAAGAGAGGTTCTTTTGGCCCGTTACCATAGTCTGTGCCTCTTCTGTATTTGCATGGAAAAGACATACATAGCCTTGATCAGTGCATCTATGAACAGCAAGGAGTTATTTGCTAGACACCTGTTTGATCTGAGCTCCAGAACACTGAGGCAAAATTCCAATTTTTAACAAAATCTCCCTCCCCTCCCTCTCTGCTTCCCTGTTTTCCCCTCCTACAGGAAACCATGGAAAATGTGAAAAAATGCAAGAATTTTCTCTCTACACTAATAAAACTGGCCTCTTCTGGAAAGCAGTCTACAGAAACTGCAGCTAATGTGAAAGAACTAGTCCAGAACCTGCTGGTAAGGCACACAGAGAGAAGCTGTTGTGAAATGCGGCTTCAGATGCAATTTCATGAATGCAGGAATTTGATAAGCGCTGAGCCTCACATATATTTTTGTGGACTTTATTGGCTGAATGAAGGGAAGCAGCGTTTAGGAAAATAAAAGACGCTGAGGCTATAGATAGCTGCTCAGAGATCTATTTTTAGAAGGACAGGTGAGGCAGCAAGGAAAGCTGTAGGAGGGCTGAACTCAGGCCTGTAGCTAGGAATTTTGTTCCCTGGGGGGGGCATATAAATTTTTAAGGAGGCTTAAGGGAGCACACGCCTTTAAAAATTGTAAAAAGAAAGATTTTAAAAGCTTTTTGAGGACAAATTCCTGTGGGGCTGTGCCTTTAAGTAAGGGGGCGGAGCTCCAAATAGCCCCACTCCAGCTTCAGGCCTGGCTGAACTGTTATCGTTGCCCCCTTGTTTGCTAAATAAAAAAAGTCTGGGAAAACAAGTGGCAGACCTCAATTGTTTTTTGGAAGAACCAGAATAGGGAGTTTTGAGAAAATGGAGCACGTGGAGAGCAATTCTGAGCAGGACTGCTTGCAAGTAAGTCTCATTTTCTTCCTCAGGGGAGGAACTCCCAGGAAAACATTTTAGGACCGCAGCTTTAAAGTAGTAAAAAAGTTGTACATTCGAAATACAAAAATACTAGACTCTGTGTCCCTCCCCCTTTTCTCGATGCAGTCTAACCGTCTGTCAAATAAGAAAGCAGACGGAATATAGTACAGAAGACGACTTTGCCCATTACTTACAGATACACCCTGTTGAGCCCTTCGGAAAACTGGGCCATCAGGGCCCCCCTCCCCGCGCGCTCAGGAGTGTAAACAATTTCTATATGAGCTTGTCCAGCAATTAAAACCTTTGGCAGAGCATCTCTTGCCTGTGCCCCCATCGTAGAGCGATGGTAGGTAGCTACTTGTGAGCATGGCCTTTTTCTGTGGTGGCCCCTCATTGGTGCAGATGATCACCTGGGGTTGGCTCTTCCTAGCTTTGGGTGCTAGGTGAAAACTTACCTGTTTGATCAGGCTGTTGATGTGCCAGTTTTGCTGAGCTGACCGTAGGGGAGTGGGTAGTTAGTTAATGGGCTTAAATTCATCTTCAGACTCTGCTTTTTGTTCTCTCAGATGCTGATTCATGTGTCTCCTATAGAGTGTCACTCTTTGCTTTAGCAGCCAAGAAAATACGGGCTAGAGTCGCATCCAAAGAGGGCAGTGTTTTCATTTGATCAGTACTTTTCGGTTAGATTGTTTTAATGCTGATATTTATAATTATGTTATATGTGTCAGACTGTAGCAGCCTTTGGCCCCAGACAATAAACTTTTATCATATCGTATCGGGTAGTTAGTGGCATTTTTGGTTTTGATACAGTTTTATTTTCCTGGTGGTTATAGTATAAAAATTCTGTATTTAAAATAAAACCCAGGTTTTTGTATTATGTGATCTACCCCAGAAGCTTTGACTTAGATACTATGGGATACACATTCTATAAATAAACATACCTCTAGTTCTTGGCCAGTGTTGTATTTATTAGCAAGTTTTGCTATGTGAGCAAAGAAAATAAGATCCAGTGGATATTGAGTTGTGATTATATTGGAATCATGGCTAGAGGGGTACACTGCATTTTGTATTTGACTGCTCCGTTAAATCACTTTGAGATTGTTTTTTTCCTAAAGCTGTAAATAAAATGTTGTCTTTATCCAATGTTTCTTTCAATACGTTTGAACAAGTGAAGCCTTAGGAGCTATACTTCCCTATCTGAAGAATCTGAAATTTTATTACAGGATGGCAAAATCGAAGCGGAAGATTTCACCAGCAGGCTATACCGGGAACTTAATTCTTCACCTCAACCCTACCTTGTGCCTTTCTTGAAGGTAATGCCATCTCTTCATTCTCATTGCATCTCTTACAGTGGTATGTCATGCCCTTCTTATTAAGAGCAGGGCTATTTTGGGGCAGGAACGCACAGGAACGAAGTTCCGGCTGGCTTCAGAGTTGGCCACACCCACCACAGCCAAAACCTCTGCATGCGTGGCTACAGAGGGAAGGCCTGGAGAGCGGACCCCCCCCCCGGCGACTCCAAGCTTGGCGAGCCAGGGGGGCCCCCCTGGAAGGATTGGGGAGTGCCCCGGCCTATCCAAGGGCCGGCTTGCCTGGGCTCCCCATAGCTGCGGGGTGCCCAGACAAGCCAAGGGAAGGCATGGGGTGTGGCCTAATGTGCTAATGAGCTGTCCTGTCATGAGTTCCTGCTGTTAGGTGTGGCCTATTATGCTAATTAGTTCCTGCTGGGCTTTTTCTACAAAAAAAGCCCTGAAAGAGCATATTACAAACCACACATATTAAAAGCGGTACCTGATTTGAATATTGAAGAAGACAGGTAGACAACGATAATATAAGCCTGCTTTTATAAAAAAGATAATAATAAGATTTTAGAGAAATTCTAAGGAGACTCGTGATTCTATCGATGAGGGAGCTTAGCTGGGAATCTTATAATTTGTTTTCAGTCATTATTATTAAACTGGTTTTGTAAGGCAATCTTCCCCCTTCAAAAAAAAAAAAAGGGTGTGTGTGTATGTGTGAGGAAAGACTCTAAGAACCTCATCAGATCTCAGAAGCCAAGCAGAGTCAGCCCTGGTTGGTACTTAGATGGAAGACCAACGAGGAAGCTCAGGGTCACTATGCAGAGGCAGGCAGTGGCAAACCACCTCTGTTCATCTCTCACCTGGAGAACCCTACGGCGTCACCATACGTCGGCTGAGACTTGATGGCAGTTTCCACCTCCAAAACAGAAAAAAAAAATCAAAAGCAATAAACAGTTTCATAGACTACCAGTAAGCCTTCTTGGGAAAAAAAACACCCACTATTGCTACCAGCCACCAAGTTAATAGAGAACCTTCTTAAAAACAACAACTTTACAGGCCTTTCTAAAGCTGTCAACATAGCGAAGCCTCATGCCTGTATTAGCAAGCCATTCCACAGAGTTGGTGGCTGTAATGGACCCCCTGCTGGACCTCCTGACGGCACCTGGTATTGTTGGCCACTGTGTGACAGAGTGTTGGACTGGATGGGCCACTGGCCTGATCCAACCTTGGCTTCTCTTATGTTCTCTTATGTTCTAATGGACTGTGAAGGGTTAATGCCTCACAGAGCCAGAGAGCCCAGGCAGTAAGCCTTCACAGTCCATTTCAGGGGCCACCACTGAAAAAGCCCGGGAGGAGGCAGAATTCATTCTGATCACTCTGGGAAGCAGCACAACAGGTAGCTACTGATCAAAGGAGGGAAGTGGATGTTTGGTTTTACGTAGCGACAGGTGGCCCCCAAGGTCTGTGGATCCTACTCATGAAGGGCTTTAAAGATCACCAGCACCTCTGCTTGAGCCCAGAAACAAGTATCTATCTGGAAATTTTGTGAACAGAATTATTACAGGGGCTTCGTGTTTATCTTATGGATTACCTACACGTTCTGGATGTTTCTGGTTCTACTGGGATAAAGGGAGCTTGATCCGTGCCTATTTCTGATGAGCATTTTAAACTGCGTGGGCGCTTGCACTGGAGCACTAACAAATGTAGCTTCTCTCCCCCCACCCCCTTCTCTTTCCACAGCGGAGCTTACCTGCCTTGAGACAGCTGACTCCGGACTCGGCGGCTTTCATTCAGCAAAGCCAGCAGCAGCAGCCCACGACGCAGCCCACGACCACTCTTACGGCCGTGATGCTGAACAGCCCCATTCAACGCACAGCGGGGAAGACCACTGCCACCGTCACGAGTACCTTGCAGCAGCCGGTCATCAGCCTGACGCAGCCAACGCAAGTTGGGGTTGGCAAACAAGGGCAGCCCACGCAGGTGGTGCGTAAACCAGGACAGATTGCTCACCTAGCACAGTTGGGTCTTCTAGGTTGTAAGCGTTTCCCTTCCTAGAGCTCTGCTAGCAAATGGGTATAAAGGAGTATCAAGAACTGGTGCCTTCCTGGTATTTAATGTGTATTGAAGGCCCACGTGCTTGTTACTCCCTAGCAAACACTGCTTTCCCCCCAATGGCCATGTAAAGTAAAATGAAACTAAGAATTCATTTTTAAAAAAACATTTTAACTTTTATTGAACATAGGAATAAACACTTCGCATATAACAATGTACGTAAATCTCAGCATTCACTTACATACATTTAGTTAGATCAAACCTTACCAATACAGTTCTGTTACTTTAAAACTCTAGAGGTAATAATATTGAAGCGTCAACATTAGATTAAGCATTACAACTTGGTTACAGTTGCAGCAAATTGATAGGAAATACATTATTTGTTTGGTATTTTGTCTCTTAAATACCGTGCAATTTAACACTGGATACCAAATTGCCAGAAAGCAAGAACTTTGTTTTGAATTGGTGACTCGGGTATTATTGTAAGCAGTCTTTTCCATTACATAACTAAAATTTCATTTTAAACAGGCTTCACCCACTACTAATGCTAGGGCTTTGGTATCATGAGCATGGGAACGTCTGTAGAGTACGAGCAGTATGAATGAGAGGAGGAAGTTCCCTCAAGACTGTATAAAATGGGTCAGGAACCCAGTGCTTGCAGGGCATAAAGTGCCCACCCCACGTCAGACTAGGCCAGGCTAGCCTGATCTTGTCAGATCTCGGAAGCTAAGCAGGGTCGGTCCTGGTTAACCCTTGGATGGGAGACCTCCAGGGAAGTCCAGGTCCACCATGCAGAAGCACCTCTGAGCATCTCTTGCCTTGAAAATGCCGTGGGGTCGTCATGAGTTGGCTGCGACTTGACAGCACACTGTTGTTATTAATGTTATCATTATTATCATCATCCGGAAAGTGCCCCTTTCAGATAAGTTACTTCCAAATTCACTGCTATCTTAAGGAACTTGAAGTTGCAGGACCCCGCTGTATTGTACAGAAGAACCAAACGTTTGAAGCATTTCAGAAGCAAAAATAAACGAGTGGCCATTCTTAGCAAGTCATCTGTTTGCAAAGCACGTTGGTCTGAGCAGCGCTTCTCTATTGGACGCCAAGCAGCCTTTGCATTCTTACCTACTTCAGTAGCATTAATCCCACCCCCCTCCAATTTTTTCAGGTCATCCAGCAGTCTCAAAAACCGGGCACGTTGATTAGGCCTCCGCAGGTGACGTTGACACAGACCCCAATGGTGGCCTTGCGACCACCCCACAACCGTATTATGCTTACCGCTCCCCAGCAAATTCAGCTGAACCCTCTTCAGACAGGTAAGACAGATGCATTCCCTTTAGGGTGGTGGGATTTGTTCTGTCAATAGCAAAGCCCCACCTAGTGTTCAGTCCTAAAATTGCACCTGGGAAATAGCCGTCGTTAAGTCACCACCACATATCACCCACACAGTCCCTGATCGATTCATGGGCAGGATATTTGTGGATAAGTTCTCGAAAGACGCAGCAGGAAGGCAGTTTTCTTTCTGAATCGCAGGTGGACCTATTTAAAGAAAAAGAGAGGATGTAATCCATGGTTGACTCTAATTTGACACTTGACTAAAAATTTGTTTCCAGACCTGTATCAATTTCCAGTGGAAAAAAGAGCTATTGAAATTGCACACGTTTGATGCTGTCAGTAGAGTTTATGTCTAATATCAGGAGCCTTGGGTTGTGTCAGCTCTGGAAAATACTTGTTCGGTGAGAGGTCAAAATGATTTGAAGGTACCCGTAGCAAAGAACAAGAGCCCAGCAGCACCTTAAAGACTAACACAAATGTGTGGCAGAGCTTTTGTGAGTCGCTGCTCACTTCTTTAGGAAGTTCCTCCCCTGCCACAAATTTTGTTAGTCTCTATCGTTATTTTGTTAGTTGCTCTTTTCTACTGCTGCAGACTGACTAACGTAGCAACTCCCCTTGGTCTGAAGATACCTGGAATATGAAAAAGATAGCGTTCATGTAAAAATGTTATCCATTCTCTTTATTATGAAATAATTCTTGTAGTGGTCTCTTTCCAAAGTTATCGTGTGCGCGCTAGTATTTTGTGTGCAAACATCTCAAACAGCTTGGCTGTAGACAGTCCATTTGAGGCAGCTGTGTGCATTTGTGTATCTTTGCACTAATCCCTTCCCCTTTAAAGAATCCCTCCCACGAAAGCTGAACTCTTCCGTCGGCGCAAATTTCCTGCCATTCTCTCGTTTTGTGTAGTTTTTGCTGATTTCCGTTGCCGTGTTAAGAGTATCAGTCTTGATGTGTGTGTTTTCTTTTCCCTTCCTTGCAGTCCCTGTGGTAAAACAGACAGTATTACCTGGAACCAAAGCTCTTTCCACTTTTTCAACCCAAGCAGCAGCTGCTCAAAAAAATAAACTCAAAGAACCCGGGGGAGGCTCTTTTAGGTAAGGAGTCCTCCAGCGTGTGTTTGTGTTAAAAGACATGACGGGGGGCAAGAGGGGACCACTAGAGATAATACTGACGGGGATGCTGGCTAGAGACGGCCATGGAGGATTTGCAACCCATTTGGGGATAAATAGCCAGGCTTCTTGGTAGGACTGCAGGTTAGCTGGTGGTGGGATCCCTGGTTACTTTGCCAGGCTATTTGCTTACACCTCTGGGTATTCCGTGTCCACTCTTTTATATTGGAACCCTTATGTTTTCGATCATTGTCTGTGGTCTCCCACAGTAAAATTCTCCTAACTGAAAAATCTGGCGCTGCGGCCCTGCTAAGCCTTTGTTTATAAACCTGAACCTAGCGGCTCCAGTTTCTAAGATTTATCATACGAAACTGCAGTGCTATCTGTCCTCAGTTTATGGGTTTGGTTTTTAACTGTTTTAACTATTTATTGTGAAATGCTTTAACGTTTATTGTGGATTTGTTGTTGTGATCCGCTCTGAGGCCGCTCGCAGGGAGGATGGAATACAAGCCGAAAATAATAATTTGTGTCACAGGAAGAAACCAAACTGAAAATGAACAAATATATATATGTTCATTTTCAGTTTGGTTTCTTCCTGTGACACAAATAGTATATTTGGAAATAGTATATTCTGCCTTTTAATCCCTATAAGAAAGCATGAATATTCCATAATGGAAACCTTCCTTACTTTTTGAACTGAGATCTCTGTCATAAATAACAGCAGCTTTTAATCACTTGGTTGGACTCTACTTCTCTGCTTCTTCTGTAACCGCAATAAGTTACTGATGATGTCTAGTTTAGGCCAGGTTTTGATGATAGCAATATAGTTAATTAAAAACGCGCACACACAAAACCAAACTCCTTGTCTTGGATTTGCTTTATTTTTGTTATCCGAAATCCATTCTGCTGCCCAATTGATCAGTGCATGTTGATATTAAATTGAGATTGCCCTCTTACTGTGTTGGGGGGGAGGGGGCTTGCAAAACTAATTCATGAATTTCTTGGCTGTTCTTTTGCTTTTAGATAAGAGTGAAAGATTGATTTTGATTGCAATGTTTTCCGTTTCTGAAGGGACGACGACGACATTAATGATGTCGCATCGATGGCGGGCGTCAACCTATCGGAATGCGCGTATATTGGCTACCAATTCCGAGTTGGTGGGGACGTTAACGAGATCGTGTAAAGACGAAACCTTTCTTCTCCCAGCACTTTTGCAAAGAAGGATATTAGAAATAGGTAGGCTTCTGATGATGTGCAGAAGTTGACACATGCAGATTTTTGTTAAGCTCTCTATAAACTGCTTAAGCACTGTGTTGGGGGGGAGGGGGCTTGCAAAACTAATTCATGAATTTCTTGGCTGTTCTTTTGCTTTTAGATAAGAGCGAAAGATTGATTTTGATTGCAATGTTTTCTGTTTCTGAAGGGATGACGACGACATTAATGATGTCGCATCGATGGCGGGCGGCAACCTCGCGGAAGAGAGAGCGCACATATTCGATATTGGCTACCAATTCCGAGTTGGTGGGCACGTTAACGAGATCGTGTAAAGACGAAACCTTTCTTCTCCCAGCACTTTTGCAAAGAAGGATACTAGAAATAGGTAGGCTTCTGATGACGTGCAGAAGTTGACACATGCAGATTTTTGGTAATCTCTCTATAAACTGCTTAAACGCTGGACTGCTGGGACCTTACATGGCAACAAACCCAAGTTTCCCCCCAAATACAGACCCAGTGGGAGAGCTGCAGCTGGTACTTGCTCTCCAGCAGCCATCCCCCATATGCTGCACAGCTTTCTAGACATGAGCTCATCTCATTAACAGATTTAACTTTTAACTGTAGAGACAGTCTGAGGTATACCCTTGAAAAGCATATCATGCAAAGCAACCCTAAAGCGCAGTGTGAATCAGCTGACGCATGCTTGTCCCTTGATTTCAAATCCTGCAATCCTCCGGTTTGATCACATGAGCCAGCAAATAAGTAGGTGATGCTGATGTGGCAGTGTCTTGGCTAGCATGATGGCGTGATTAGACCCAGAACTTGATCCTGGTGTACCAGCGCACGTCAGCACAGTTGCGCAGGGTATGTGAGATAGGAGCAAGTTTTGTCCTCATGCTGTCTATGAGGTACTGTAAGAGGTAGCTGTATTTGGCGCACTCTTATAGTGCACTGACTTGGTGCCTCTTTGTTTGTTAACTTAGAATCATAGAGTTGGAAGGGACCTCCGGGGTAATCTAGTCCAATCCCTTGCATAATGCAGGAAATTCGTAGATACCTCCCCCCCACACCCTCAGTGGCCCCTGTTCCACACCCAGAAGATGACAAAAAACCTCCAGGATCTCCAGCCAAACTGGCCTGGAGAAAAATTGCTTCCTGGCACCCAAAGTGGCGATCAGCATTTCCTTGGACGTGTAAGAAAGCTTCTATAACATGTATCGTGCAAGCTAAAAATGTAATATAAAGGATGGATAACAGCCACAATAACCAATAATCAGACCCAAAGGAAACTGAAAACATGCGCTAAATGTCTATGCAATATATTATCCAATATTCAAAGCATATCAAAATATACAAAAAGTGAGTTAAACAATCATAGTAATTAAATTCATAGTTGTTAATGAAGTTCTCTGGAATGACGTATCGTTTCGTTGAGACTTCCTCTGAACCTTACACTGCACATTGTATTTTTACACACATGTTTTAATGAATGTTGTAAGGTTCAGAGGAAGTCTCAACGAAACGATACGTCATTCCGAAGAACTTTGTTAACAAGCTACAAATGTAGCATTTGTTTTTCAAAACATTTGCCATATAGGTTTGTACCACTGAGATATCTCCTATTTGGTTGCAGTTTCCTGTTATGGGAAATTACTTCCAGGTTTCTTATGAAAGCGGCTGTCTGTTTCCAAACAGCAGCATACTTGGCCGTGCAGCTGGAAGACGGGGCATTCAGTTCTGGCATAGCCCAGAGCCTTTAAGTGGCCTTTGATAGATGTGTCTAATAGCTGATTGCTGTTCTCTAGAGTTGGACTGTTAGGTGACCTAGATCACTGAGCACCGTGAAGGTCATGAAGCTCCTCTCATACTAAAGAGTTAACAGGAATACAGGTAAAGGTAAAGGTTTCCCTTGCTCGAAAGCCAGTCGAGTCCAACTCTAGGGTTGTGGTGCTCATCTCCGTTTCAAAGCCGAAGAGCCAGCGCTGTCCGAAGACGTTTCCGTGGTCATGTGGCCGGCATGACTAAACACCGAGGCGCACAGAACGCTGTTACCTTCCCACCGAAGTGGTACCTATTTATCTACTTGCAATTTCTTGCTTTCGAAGTGCTAGGTTGGCAGGAGCTGGAACTAGAGATGAAGAAGAAGAAGAGAAGAAGAGATTGGATTTATACCCCGCCCTCCACTTGGAGTCTCAGAGCGGCTTACAACCTCCTTTCCCTTCCCCTCCCCACAACAGACACCCTGTGAGGTGGGTGGGGCTGAGAGAGCTCTGACACAAACTGCTCTTTTTCAAGGACAGCTGTGCCAGAGCTTGTGACTGACCCAAGGTCACATCAGCAGGTGCAAGTGGAGGAGTGGGGAATCAAACCCGGTTCTCCCAGATTAGAGTCTGCGCACTTAACCACTACACCAAACTGGAGCTCACTCCGTCATGCGGCACACTCGGGTCTCGAACTGCTGAACTACCGACCTTCCGCAGCCTGCAGTTCAGTGTCTTAACCACTTGAGTCACCGCAGCTCCAACAGGAATATAGTCACTATTATTTAAGCAGTGTAATTCCTCCACCAGAAGAGCAAGATTCGAGTCTGGTCACACCTTAAAGGCCAACAAGATTTCCCGGTTAGAAGTTTTTAAGAGTCAAAACTCCCTTCGTCAGATACTCTGGAGAGCCTATACTTTGGAAACCTTGTTAGTTTCAGGTGAGTAGCCATGTCGGTCCGCAGTAGAAGACCAAGATTCGAGTCCGGCAGCTTAAAGGCCAACAAGATTTCCAGGGTAGAAGTTTTTAAGAGTCAAAACTCCCTTCGTCAGATACAAAAGGGAGCTTTGACTCTGGAGAGCTTATACCTTGGGAATCTTGTTAGTTTCAGGTGAGTAGCCATGTTGGTCCGCAGTAGAAGACCAAGATTCGAGTCCGGCAGCATCTGACAGGCCTACAAGATTTGCAAGGTGTAAGCCTTTGAGAGAGAACGCTCCCTTTGTTAGAGATGGGAGGGAGCTTTGACTCCGGGGAGCCTTGCCTCTCTAAAGCTTATTCCCTGGAGATCTTGTTGGTCTTCGAGGTGCTCCTGGACACGAATTTTGACCTCCTCCTACAGAGCAACACGGTTACCCACCCACCTGAAACTGAGTTCCTTCACTAGGTGCACATTCCATTTGGCCTTCAGAGTCTTAGACTATTAGCCACATGAGTGCATAACATATCAGATTGCTGAGTTACACTGGAGAGAAAGGTAGCAAAGACGAATCTGGCCCACAGGCCTCTTGGTCTGCACCCACTTGCTCGTTGCCTAGATGACGCAATTGTGTGAATGATCCATCACAGGTCAGCCTCCCCAGGGAGAGGGTCCAGGTTGCATTGAGTGATGTTCTTTTGGACAGAGTCGGTTCTCACACTCAGCTGGTATTGGCCTGTTTAACACAGGTATCCCTCCCTCCCTCCCTCCCTCCCTTGGTCCAAATTATATAGTAGCAACCCTTGTAGGTGCTTTCTAAAGCTTAGGAGACCTGGCCCATATAGAAACTGAATAATATTTACCAGTTAAGAAACTGCAGTAAGACTTCCTGTAGTGGCTTGTAGTTCCTTAGGAAGGACCTGAAGTCCGAAACACTAATCAATACCTAGGAAAAGTGTTGGACATCTATTCCAGACTTCATTGTGGACATCTATTCCAGACTTGATTGTTGTGAGAGGTTGTTATTCTGGACTTTGTTCTTTCCCTTTGGGATATTATGGACTTGTGTATTTTCCTATGATGGATTACATGTATTGAATTACTTATTGTGTTGAAGCCTCTTCCTAATAGCTCTTGTGCGGGTTGGTCAGTACACAGTTGTTATTTATTGGTTTCCCCTGGTTATAATTTACTGTGGACTGTATTATTGTTGTTGCTGAAACGCTTGCTGGTCTCTAAGGTGCCACACGGGGGGCTTGAATCCAAGTGTTCTCCTGCAGACCAGCACGGCTGCTCTCTCAGACTTTCCTCATAGGACTGGTAGGAGGTCTGGCTTGCCCAGCATACGGATTGTGGCAGGATTCCTTTTGCTTCAGGACAGATGCTGTCTCCAGTGCCTTCCCATCGTACCTGGGGCCCAGATGTGGCCTGGCTCAGTGACAGTGTCCACCCAGTGTGCTGCAGCAGTGAGAAAGGCAAGCGCTGTGTTAGGGATTATCGGGAAAGGGGCTGAGAATAAAACGGCCGACAGTATAATGCCCCTGCATAGATCTATGGTGCGGCCTCATTTGGAATAATGTGTACAGTTCTGGCCACCCTATCTCAAAAAAGGACATTGCAGCGCTGGAAGCAGTCCAGAGGAGGGCGGCCAAGATGATTCAGGGGGTTGGAGCACCTTCCCTGTGAGGAAAGGCTGAGGAGCGAGATTACTAAGGGGGGGGGGGCATGATAGAGGTTTATAAAACCATGCATGGGATGGAGAGAGCTGACAAACAGAACGTTTCCTCCCGCTCCCCAAAGACTAGAACTTGAGGACATACAACGAAGGTAATAGGCAATAGGTTTAGGATGGACAAAAGGAAATACTACTTTACGCAGTGAAAGAGTCACTAAAAATGTGAAATCTGTTACCAGAGGATGGAGTGTTGGCCACAGGAATAAGCAGATTTAAAAGGGAATTAGGTAGATTCATGGAGGATAAGTCTTTATCACTCCCACTCAGTATTAGCAAATCCTGGAGGTTTCCTCTGGAACCGAATTGAGCCATTCCTCAAGGAGGGGCAGGGAAAATGGTCATAAGGGTAGTGTAGAATGCTTCAGCTTATCCAAGGGGGAGGGTGGGTGGGTCGGAATACATAGTGTTCAGTACATAGAACAGTGTTTCCCAAAATCTTGATACCCAGGGCACTGTTTCGTTTTGTTTTTTTGTTCTAGATTAGAAGGCACTCTTCGCTCTTGCGTATGTTTCTGGATCGGCTGCCAGAAAAATGTACAGTCACCTTTCCATGCAGCTCAGCTAACATTTCTTCCAAGTGTCCTTCCCCTTTGCCCCTTTTGCCCAGCCAGTCAGCCAGATAGGATGTGATATCTGGGCAGCAGGGATTCTTCAGCTGTAAAGAGTCTTGAGGTGTCCTTCCACTAATAGGATGAGGGTGGAGGATTAGTACTACCTATTTGTGTGGTCTGGCAGGTGTAGAACAGTGTCTCGATTTTTGTGTGTGGCACTTTCAGGCCCTTTCTGGCACATAATTTGGCAATCATAACTTTTATGTATTTATTTTTCATTTTACTTGATTTATAGCCGAACTCTTTCCTTGAGGGAGGGAAGGCGGCATAGAATAGTCCGATCTCGTCAGGTCTCGGAAGCTAAGCAGGGTCGGTCCTTGGAGGGGAGACCACCAAGGAAGGCTCTAAGGAGGAAGGCCATGGCCAACCACCTCTCCTTCTCACTCGCCTCGAAAGGCGCTTGCTGGGTTTTCCACAAGCTGTGACTTGACAGCGCTTGCATACGTTTCTCCTTTGGACTCGAGGCAGATCACGAAATTTCAAAAACGATTCAATCAGACAGCATAAGAGATGCAACAAGCAACGCAACAGGACGAGGGTCATAGCACTGGCCAACGATGCAAACGAAAAAAAAACCTGTTCTAAGACACGGCATGCCGTAATGCCAAAAGTGGGTTACAAAGGTAGAAGACGGTGTAGCACGTTTAGTGTAAATGTGCAACAGGTATGCATTTTCCCCTCCATGTGGTATGAAAATGACCGTTGAAATTTTTTACGGTTGTTAAAATCAGTACTGTTAGCAGCTCCAAAACAAGGTCTGTGAAAGGTAACAGGCTAAACTCTGGGCAAACGGAAACATATGGAGCCATCAGTCGTCAGGGCAAGGCATTACTTCTACTCAGAGAATCTATACGCCCAATTACTACCAAAAGCTGGAGATGACAGACAATTAGGTGACTGCTCTCTTAACATTCTGTGGTGTTAGACAGTTTCTCCAGGTATGCCCACTGCTGGATGCAAAATGTGGGTCCTGATGAACCGTTTGTCTAACCCAGTGGCCCTGTTCTTTTGTTCTCCAAATACTGAGCTCTGGGAGGAGAGAAATTCGGTAGGATAAATGTCAAATGCACTTTAGGTGCCCTGATGGGATCCGGTGCTCTAAGGAACTGTACTTTTAAAACAATCTCTGAAAGAGAAGAGTTAGCTGGAAAATACTGCTTAGAATGTGAAATCCTGATGAGATCACAGACTAAGACAAAATGCTGGGGAATTAAATGAGGGGGAAATCGCTTTGACTGGCTGTTTGTGAATGGCCAAGTGAAACACGTGAGCTTCGATGATATGCACGATCGTCTCCTTTAGCTTCACACGCTACCAGCATGCGGCTTTTTGTTTCTCTTTCAACTTTCTAACGAGAACGGTTTTCTCATGTTTTGCAGGACGATGAAAGATACGATCAAGCGAGCGACGTTCGGGCGCAGCTCAAGTTCTTTGAGCAGCTTGATCAAATCGAGAAACAGCGGAAAGACGAACAAGAAAGGGAAATTTTAATGCGGGCAGCAAAGGCAAGTTGCTTGGGGACTTTGCCCCTAATGGACTGGCAAAGTGTCACATTTGACATCAAAACAGGAGAGGTTCTTTGGGCTGTGGAGTTAAGCAGGAAGTTCTCTTTGTAACTATAGACCCCACTCTGCTGGTGTGCTTTTTGTCTTAGCCCCACTGTGTTTAGGCCACTAACGGGCATCATGGTGGGCTCCATAGACACCTGTCCTTTCGATGGTAGAGGACTCCCACTCCCAAAATTTAGAAATTTGGAGAATGGCCTTCAGCTGAGTATGTGGACCTGGCCTCTGGCAGAACAACAGGAGAAACGCTGGTGTGCTTAGAACGTAAGAGAAGCCATGTTGGGTCAGGCCAATGGCCCATCCAGTCCAACACGCTGTGCCAGACAGTGGCCAAAACCCAGGTGCCATCAGGAGGTCCACCAGCGGGGCCAGAACACCAGAAGTCCTCCCACTATTGCCCCCCAAGCACCAAGAATACAGAGCATCACTTGCCCCAGACATAAGAACAAAGACAGGCCATGTTGGATCAGGCCAATGGCCCATCCAGTCCAACATTCTATGTCACACAGTGGCCAAAACCCAGGCGCCATCAGGAGGTCCCCCAGCGGGGCCAGAAGCCCTCCCACTGTTGCGCCCCCCCCCCAAGTACCAAGAATACTGAGCATCATTGCCCCAGACAGAGTGTTCCATCTATACCAGGGGTGGCCAGACTTGCTTAACATAGGAGCCACATAGAATAAACATCAGATGTCTGAGAGCCGCAAGACGTGAACAAATATTACACACGTTTTAATTGAAAAATATGCAAATTTGCTTTTATTAATATTAAATTGGTAACTTTAAATGGGGAGGGAGGGGAGAAAGAAAGGTGGAAAGACAGCAGATAGATGGGAGAGGGAGGGAGAGGTGGAAAGAAAGCAACTTTAACATTAATTGTGTCCTCCATGCCAGCTGGTGGGGGAGGTGTTGAGAATGCATTTAAAGTTCAAGTTCCTTTCTTTCTCTGCACTGGCTGGGGAAGGGAAGACCAATTGGGGAGGAATTCAAACCTGGGTTTCCAAGATCCTGATCTGAAACTTTAACCACTTCACTACTCTGGCTCAGTTTGGGTTGCACAGTTTTTTAGCCTCTGGCTCACACATTTTTACCTTAGCTCAGGAAGGAGGGCTCCAGAGCAAACTAATTGATGCAGTAGCCAAATCGCTCGCTCACAACTTTAATGCCAGTAGCTCACAAAGTAGAATTTTTGCTCACAAGACTCCACAGCTTAGAGGGAGCACTGGTGTATGTGTGTTTTTGTGTCTGTATATGAATGAGAATGTAAAATGTTGATCAGGTAAAGAATATAATTAAAGGGTGAATAAACACAGCAATTCGAAAGCAAGAAACTGCAAGTAGATATATAGGTACCACTTTGGTGGGAAGGTAACAGCATTCCGTGCGCCTCGGCGTTTAGTCATGCCGGCCACATGACTATGGAAATGTCTTCGGACAGCACTGGCTCTTTGGCTGGGAAACAGAGATGATCACTGCCCCCTAGAGTCGGATTCGACTAGCTCTCGAGCAAGGGAACCCTTTACCTTTACACACAGCCAAAACATTTTGAAGACATTTCTGCCCTGTCTTACCCATTTTTTTTTTGTTCTTTTCTCTCTCCATCTATGATCAAAATGCTTAACCAACACAGTCTCGATCTAGACAAGAAGATCCAGAACAGCTTAGGTTGAAACAGAAGGCCAAGGAGGTATGTTTTCAAAGTCCTTGTATCGTCATCTACTACATTGACCACCGTGGCGCTATACGTACGATACCATTTCCCACTATATAAAAACTGCCCGGCAAAAAAGGGTGAATTTAAAAAAAGAACAACTACAGAACTGAAAATTGTGACTTTCTGTTTTTGATACGCACACACAGATGCAGCAACAAGAACTGGCACAAATGAGACAGAGGGAAGCCAACCAAACTGCTTTGGCGGCAATCGGTCCCAGAAAGAAGAGGAAAGTGGACTCTCCAGGCGCTGGACCAGGGACAGAGGTAAAACCCGTGGCTCCTTTTGAATAATATACCCTGGTGCATCCTAGGCTTCTTAATAGCCGAGGTACAATTTTTTCCCCCTGAATTTGAAATGGAGAGGTTCACCATTCCCCCCTGGAAAAGGTTACTGCCGGAATGGGCAAGAATAAGAAACCACCTACCTGTGGCAGAGTATCCCCACTATGACTCCGTGTGATGACCCCAAAGGGTTCTGAAGGCAAGAGACTTCCAGAGGTGGTTTGCCACTGGTTTTGCCTGGTCTTCCCTGATGGTCTCCCATCCAGGTACTAACCAGGGCCAACCCTGCTTAGCTTCTGAGATCTGACGAGATCAGGTTATCCTGGGCTATCCAAGTGAGGTACTTAAAGAATAGGGAATCTTAATTGCTCCACAGAGTATGGAGAAACTGTTGCTGTCTCACATCAGACATTTAAGGAATAGTGCAATGCAATTCTGGACCAAGTGAAAGATCCAGGGATTAATGTTGATTTTTGTAGCATATTTGTCGGTAGCCCTTCTCCCTTCTCCCCCCCTTAACCTTTGCTGTGTTTGACAAGCAAATTTATTGGAAAATAGAATGGGGCTGGATTATGAGGACTGGGGGATGTTATGCTGAGTGATTATCCAGGAGGCCGATAGTAGTGCTTCCTACCCCTCTTTCCCCTTCATTCCCAGTCACCCACTGAAGCATGAACATGAAATCTTCTGCAGTCCCCATTCCACTCCTCCTGTTTCTTCCTGGTGAACCATTATTTGAAATATCCCGTACAGCCGGGAGCAAGGCCACTACTGTTGGGGTGGATCCAACAATCCTCCACATGGTCTTCTTCCTCCAGCCTAAGGAGCTTTCCCCCAACTTAAGGGGCTCTTCTTCCAATGGTAGACAGGGTAGGGGTAGACAGGGTAGGGGTAGACAGGGTAGCCACCCCAGGGTAGCCACCCCATTTCATTTATCTTGCAGAAGAGACCCATGCCAGTGGGCTGCCAATGAGGCCAAGGCGCAAGTATGCACCGAATGCGACAGGCTACCTCGTGCTGTAGCTTTGCACCTTGGAATAGCAAAGCCTAGCTTGTTGAAGGCTAGTTGTAACCGCGATTATTATGAACAAACGGGGTTGTGTCTGATGCTCTCTTGCACAAAGAGAGCCATCACAGCAAAGCTGAGATAAGGCTAGTAGCGGATTTTGTAGAGCTCAGGCCCCAAAAACAAACAAACAAACAAACAGTCAAGATCGCCTGTGCCTAGAAACAAGTTTCAGCACTCTAGCGGCTGAGCTTACTCTGCTGGTTGCAGCCAGTGAGGAGAGCAGGGTGACTGTCTGCCCGTAAAAATAAGGTCTTCCATGTGCCAGTTTGGTGTTGTGGTTAAGTTCGCAGACTCTAATCTGGGAGAACCGGGTCTGATTCCCCACTCCTCCACCTGTACCTGGCTGGATGACCTTGGGCAAGCCGTAGTTCTGATAAGAGCTGTTCTTGAAAAAGAGCAGTCTCTGTCAGAGCTCTCTCAGCCCCACCTACCTCACAGGGTGTCTGTTGTGGGGAGGGGGAGGGAAAGGAGTTTGTAAGCCGCTCTGAGACTCCCTTGGGTAGTGAAGGGCGGGGTATAAATCCAATCTCCTCTTCCTCCTCCTCCTCCTCCTCTTCTTTCTACATAATTATGAGATTCTGTGTCCAGATTTATTTATTATTTATTTATTTCATTCCATTTGTATCCCGCCCTCCCTGCCAAAGCAGGCTCAGGGTGGCTATGTTGCTCTACATTGTCACTGGCTAGTACGTGCAAGCCATGGAGGGCGGTTTTCCCCTCCTGGCATCTTATAATTACATCGTGTGGCCTTGTTGTCATTGTGTACCTCCGGGATGGTTCATTGGCCGTGAAGCGAACTGGGAGGCTGCTCCTTAAAGCAACTCTGAGCACCGAGTTGCCACATACTTGTCAAAGTACTGAGTGGGAGGTTAAGGAGTCCCGCCTCATTTGTCTGTGTGTACACGCGTGCCTTTAGCTTAACGTCCCCTTTTATGTATGGAATCTGCTTTATATTCCCCGGGAAGTCTTGTTTGCTGTTTGGCAAGCTCTGATTAATTTAGTTATCTTAGATTAATCAGTCACTGGATAGCCAAATCAACTGCCGGCTTCCTGAATTGAAGCTTTTGTTGCCTTAATTAAGAACCAGCTGCTGTGGGTCTAATTGACTCACAGCTGTGCATCTGCTGTCACAGTTGACATTTTTAAACTGAGCTCCCCTCGTCTCTCTTTGCACTGCCCACATTTCTTTGCAGCGAAAGGCCTATTACCCAAATGGTTTGTTGGACCAGGTCTGTACGCTATTGTCCGAGGAATGCTAAATTGCTAATTACATGTGCAATCACCTTTTAAGCAAAACTGTTCAGCAAGTGCTTATGAGAGACCGATGAAATACACCGTCACTTCTGTGCCATTTCACAATTAACTTGAGGACATAACATTTGCTCTCAAAGAGAACACCGACCTCCCAGTTCTGTCTTGGCAAATTAATGATTGCTGTCATTGTTTACATTTTTAGCTGCTTGCGCATTTATGGGGGCATTTCAAAATATACTGTGAAAAATACCTCCAAAGTGAGCTTCCAATTTGTGGATCAGGGATGGCGATGGTTCTCCCTGGACCTCGGGGGAGCGACTCGCACACCAGCGGTATGGAGGGGTGCTGCCTCAAGTAGCACCCATACGGAGCCTTTGTGATAGGCTCCAGGCCATAGGGCTTTTGAGGGGCAGCCTCTTCGACGGCTCAATGCTGGAGAATTGAGGCTTCCCTCCGCCCTGATGGTCATACCGCTGTGTGGTCCTCGGGCACAAGCTGATACAACTGGAACAAGAGCTGGAGATCGAGCGGAATATCGATTACTGTGAGCGAGGTCAGAGAAATGACCGACAATGAACGTGAGTTCAAAATAAGTGGAATATTTTAAAAGCGAACCCCCCCCCCCCCGTGGGAAAAGCGGAGCGCAAAGAGGGACACCTCTTATGCGAATGGACAGATAAGCATAACGAAGGGGGCAGGGGGGGAAACAAGCAGCGATTTTGTTTTGAGAGACTTACTTGAGTGCTGACATCGAGGTGACGATTTTTCGAGTCTGCGAGAAACGGTTTGGAATTGTAAACAATCGTATAAAATGGCGGCCTCGCAAAGAAAGTTTAAAACGAAACTGGCGGGTAGTGAGTGTCCAAAACCGGAAGAGAGAGCAGACGTCATGAAAATGTTAGCGGATATGCTTAAGCCGGTGATGGAGCAATTCGATGGTTTTAACCAGCAACTGACTTCGCTGAATCAAAATTTTGCATCCCAGTAGCTCCAACTGGCAGAAACGGCAAAGAAGGTGGAGCATACGACTGAGAGAATTAAAGAGATAGACACCACAAACAAGAAAATGAAGAAAAGAAGGGGGAAGTTGAAGCAAAACAAAACTTCCAAGAAAACCGTTTGATCTTCTTCGTGGTCTCTGTGCATCACACCCTTGGGAATACTGCGCCTGCGCTGAACCTTCTCGGTACCGGTAGCTAGCAAAAGGGATTTTCGCGCCTCTCCCAGGTCACGCGCCGGCTCCACTGCGCATGACCAAGGAGGGGCACGCAGATCCCGCCAGTTCAAGGACTTAATTTCTTTTCTTCAAACCAATGGAATTTCGTACAGGTGGGCGATCCCAGAGGGTGTCATCTTTAAAATCAACGACAAAAGAGAAAAGATTGACTCCATTTTTAAAGCCAAAGAATTTTTGAGACGCCAGTTTGGATTGGAGGAAGAATCCAAAGATGAAGAATCGAAATCAAGTGACTCTGCTACCTCTGGAACGGATGAGGACTCTGCTGTAGAAACGGGTGCAGGCGCAACGAAAGTTACATATGATTTCAGAGACAGAAAACCAAAGTAAAGGCTCTGAAAATTGCCTTTTGAAGCAAATAATAAGATGCTCAGAAAGTTCTCTCGCAACAACTAACATACTAACATTGAAGGCGAGACAAACAAGAACTCTACAAGTATATTGTTGTACTAACACTTTTATTGATAACACTTAGATTAACACGGATATGATCTCCTCCTCTTGGGTTTTTAGTGTAGTGTGGTTATCTATCCTTAGATGTAATCCCCTTCCCTTATATTTTCTTTGTAGTTTTGTAGTCTTATAAAAAAATAATAAAAAATATTCCTCCGGGGATTTAAAACCCCCCCGAAAACCTCCAAAGTAATCAGAGGTCCCTGCAATAGCTCCTACCTATTACCGCAACTTCGGCATTGATCCATTTTGCGCCAAGAGTGACTCAAAAGGGCCACATGATATTTTACTTCCTCTCCTTCCTACTGCAAGGCCCAGATCACGGGAGGTGGTAGTTCCACTCTATCCTGCTATGGTCAGGCCTCACCTGGAATACTGTGTCCAGTTTTGGGCACCACATTTTAGGAAGGATGTTGACAAGCTCGAGCGTGTCCAGAAGAGGGCAACCAGGATGGTGAGAGGGTTGGAATCCAGGTCTTACGAGGAAAGGCTGAAAGAGTTGGGTATGTTTAGCATGGGAAAGAGAAGGCTTAGAGGGGACATGATTGCAGTCTTCAAATATTTGAAGGGCTGTCATGTAGAAGATGGAGCGGATCTATTCTCTCTTGCTCTGGATTGCAAGGCTGGATCTAATGGGTGGAAATTACATGGGGGTTGTTACTGGCTAAATATCAGGAAAAACTTCCTAACTGTAAGAGTGGTTGAGCAGTGGAACAGACTGCCTTGGGAGGTGATGGATGCTCCTTCACTGGATGTTTTCAAGCGGAGGCTGGACGACCATCTTTCGGGTATGTGGGATGTTGTAGGGCTATCTTTCGGCTGTGCTCCTGCAGAGTGCAGGGGGTTGGACTAATAAATAAATAAATAAATAGATAGATGACCTGCAAGATCCCTTCCAACTCTAACATTCTATGATTCTATTATTCTTCTCCTTTGACCCTTCGAGATGGCAATTCATAGAGGAGGTTG